TTCGTTCGGAAGGCCCGTTTCCACGCTTGTAGTTATTGCACTGCTCTCCTCTCTCTCTCTCTCTCTCTCTCTCTCCCTCACAGCAAATAGGAAGAAACAATTTCTACCATCTGGTGGCCCCCTCTCACTCCATTCCTAAGCAAAATAATTCCTACCATAAAGCCTCTCTTTCTCAACATATGAAAGCAATAACTACTCCCATTTGGTGTCCCCCCACCCCCTCTCTCTCTCTCTCTCTTATCTTAAAGCACTAAAATTCCTAATATTTGGTGTTATGTCTCTCTTGAAAGCTGAGGATTCGGGTACAAAGTTCAAAATAAAACTTCTCAAATGTTGTGATATACTTTTATCTCAAACTTTTTATGTTTTCTTTATAATATATAAGTTTTATTCTCCTCTTACCATCCAGCCGTTCATTTTTTATCAAGAGAGCCACTCACTGTTTGATCTTAAATCTAACGTTTCAAAGTATTTTATTTTTAGTTGTTTTAATACAATTTTTTTTAATATGAAATTTGGTTCGTGCTATCTTCTCATTGGGGCGCACTTATAAAAAATATTAACAATAATTTTTCGATAAAAATAATTATCAAAATACCTCTTGAAACTTTCAGGGTATTTTGATCATTTTATTTTATTAAAAATATTGTTTTTTATATTTTTTGTTAGTGAGAATTTAATAGAGGAATGGATGTCCAAAATTTGGTGTCAAAACAGTTTATAAAAAAAAATTAAAAATAAAATAGTGTAGAGACATGACATTGTGATTGGGGCAATCTTAACCCTCCATTAAAAAATGGACGGTTGGAGTAAATGATCTCATAGTATACAATCGCATACGTAATGCACTTTCATCTATTACATTTTATGTCAAATGGCTAAAAGTGACTGTAACCGTCTTGTATTAAAAGTAAATGGTCTCATAATATACAATCCCATATAATAATTCTTACCATATGGATTCTCCTGTCTTTCTTTCTCTCTTTCAAGCATGCACCACAAGCACATATAAAATAACTACAATTAAACTCTAGCGTAGGATTGGTCTATGAAAGTAAAATTATTGGTTTCACAGGTGGCCAACTTGGTTTGCAAATACAGGTATAGGGTGTATAATAATCAGCAAATGTAAGTCACAGCTAGTTGTTGTCGTCATCATCTTCAGATAATTTTTCCAACTAATTAAAGTTAGTAATTAGTTATACTGGTCTGCCATTCTGCTTTGTGGCCATACTCTCAATGAGATCATGAATCCCCATATCTTTTCTTGCTACTTCAAATATAAGTCTCAGTTAAAATTCAAATATTGTCAATACATATATTGGATTTGGGCCTTATAACTCGTCTTGGCCACGCCCAACTCAGTGCATCCACTGAGCAAACCATTCATTGACAACCAAAATATAGTATTTTTTTGATTTTGTTTCGTAACAGATCAAAGCAAATAAATTGTTAAAAGAAAATGGAGTATCATAATATCCTTGAGTGAAAAAGTGATCGATTTGGATTTAAATAGAAAAGGGAAATTTATCAAAATAAACCGAAGTCAACCATTTAATATTTTGTCCCTTTTTCAACTTAAGATCATGTGTGTTTTGATGCATTGTTTGATTTCTTGGATCAAAACATTTGGGTAAAAAAGCAGTCCTTAGGTGCATGTTGATATTTTTCCTAGGTGTATATATTTGTTTGTGTACACATAGAGGTTAATATAGACTTTCAAGAGAAACAACTAGAAAGCTTAGTTTCATAGTGAAATTAAGCAAATAATAAACCAACATTAGGATTTTGTTGGTGCTTGAAGGGAGTTTTACTTGTATCACATGACCTCCAACTTACTGACAAAAAAATGGACGTTTTTTGGAATTACAGAGATGCATAAAAATGGTTCCTTAGGAAAAATCAAACTAAACAATATAATGGACAAAAACTCCAATTGCATCAAGCTCTGCACCTAGGGCATGTTCGGTTCTTAAGAAAATGATTTTTTAGAAATCATTTTCTTAAAAAATAACTAATTTCTCACGTTTGGTTTTCGTAACAAGAGTAAGAAATGTTTTTACCTTCAAAATTATTTCCAATGAAAAGTGCTCCAAATCTAAGAAATTGGATTCATACCTATATAAGTATGATTCCAATTTCTTTCAAAATAATTGGATTGGTAGTGGAGGTGTAAGTAGGGCTGCCATCGGGCCAGGTGGCCCGAGGCTGGCATAGCCTGAAAATACTCTAGCCCGACTCTGTAAGGCTCAGCCTAATAACGGTACCTGAAAAACTTGCCCTCCCCCCCAATATGTACTATTAAAGCCTGGACTAACCTGGAGAGAATCCATTGGACATGGGCCTGACTTGGCCCATTATGAAGCCACCCCTTTTCTTTTTTGTTTTTGTTTTTGTTTTTTTTACGTTTCTCTTTAAACTTTTCTTGTTTGTAGTAAAAATAAAAAATAAAAAATAAAAAAAATCCATATGTTTAAATATTTTTTAAAAAATTTAAAAAACATTGAGTTTCTAGAGAGAGAAATAGACATTGGGTTTTAAGAGAGAAAGAGAATAGATTTTTAGACAATGAATTTTTAAAGAGAATAGATTTTTAAAAAGAGAGAGAGATTGAGTTTTTAGATAGAAAAAATAGTTTAAATAGAGAAAGAGATATTAGGTTTCTTAAGAGAGAAAATGAGTTTGAAAGATGGAACGATTGGATTTTTAAAGAGAAAGAGCGATTGGGTTTCAAGAGAATGAATTTTCAAAAAGATCTTTTATAGACTATCTATCCCTCGGGTCAAATGTTCACTACGAATATTTCCTATGTATCCTAAATTTTGGGGACGTGCTCTCTAGAATCCTGCAACCAAACTTAAAAGGTCAAAAAAAAAATTAACTTTGTCTCTTTGTGCCTAAAAAGAATGGTAACCCAAGATTGCATTGGTGCTATTGAATTTTTTGGTGGGAACGATCTCAGATATTCAGGAGCTCAAAGTCCAAGTTTTTCTTTGATAATAATCATCTAAATACAACTGAAATTTCATATAAATAAAAAATCCCTAAGCATCAATAGAGTAAGTATATGGTATGCTCCATCGAAATTATAATGCGCTCTTCACCCTCCATGTGTCGTCTCATGCTTTACTATACAAACTTGGTTCAACATTGTACGAAAATCTAATGAACTTAGTGCTAGGTGGGTTAATATGAAGCTGATGCGGGAGGGTGTGGGTGAGAGTAAAAATTCACATAATAGTGATATCAATACCTAATCAACTTTTCATGCCCTCGGAGGAAGGGAAAGAGCTCTTGAGAGAGACCATTTTAAGACTAAAAATTCACATAATAGTGATATCAATACCTAATCAACTTTTCATGCCCTCGGAGGAAGGGAAAGAGCTCTAGAGAGAGACCATTTTAAGACTAAAAATTCACATAATAGTGATATCAATACCTAATCAACATTTCCTGCCCTAGGAGGGAGGGCAAGAAAGAATAACAAATCAAATATATGTTTGGATCTTATAGATGGGTAACTTTCAATATATCATATTCGTTAGATAATTAGTGCTACTCAATTTCTTCACTAATTACCCAAAAAATAATAATTATTAGTGTTCCTTCTCAACAATATCTGTAATAACAATTAAAAGTTAAAAATAGCTTCTATTCCAGATTCCAGGATGCTAGATTCCCAAAAAGTTTACAATTTCATAGAAAATCTAGACAATATTACCAAACATGAGAAAATATATATATATGAAATCTATGAAATCAATTTCTTAAGAAAACAATTTACTACAAGAAAACTATCTCACGCGAATCACGCCCCTAGTCTTGAGGGTAATCTGAAACAGTGAGATGGCGAGAACCAATCGAACAAATACATTTCTCGTGTGCCACAATGAGGTAGAGAGAGAAATCTAGTTTAAGCTCATTGAAATCTTATGATTACCACAGCTTCCTCACACATTGTTTGTGACAGTCACCACAGACTAAATCGCAAGGAACAACAATTAATCAACAAATTGAGCTAGGAATCCCAATTGCTCATTACTCCTCACCCTTTCTTCTTGAAGGGATAAACACATCTCTACTTCAACCTTGGACAAGAAACATCCAAATAAACGGGACATTACTTATTGCATCACTTGTGGTGGCTGTAACCAGGTAGAGGTAAATTTTGTTTCATCTTGTCATCTTTAGACTTTGAGCTCATTGAAGCACAAATATGGAGAAACACCTTTTTTTATATTATTTTTTATTCTTCCATTATTTCCATATAACAATGCCATCAGAATCAATTGGCCGCCCAACCGTTTAGGCATATGATTTAATCAAAACTAGTCTTAACTGTCAACTGAATTAGTTGGAGTGGATTTTATAAAACATAAAGAAAATGTAGGAAGATAAGCTTAAGAACATAGATACACTCAAAGAGGAAGTCGAACCTTGTCTAGCCAATCCAACTCGTTAAAAATAACAAGTTTAATCAGCTAAAACTGGTTAAAAAACATTTGGTTTAGCAAATTTTAAACCAAACCTAGTTTTTGCTTCAAACCAGATTAACCAAGCACTGGCTAGTAGTTCAACTGGTTCGAATATCCGGTCTAGTCCAGTCTTGATAATGCTGCTATACAATATTTACACCACCAGAAAGACAGAGAGATGCTATCCAATACTCACACCACCAGAGAGAGAGATGCCATACAATACTCACACCGCCAGAGATTTTCCATGAGAGTTGCCATCAACTCAAGCACTACACATGTTGAGACGAGCTGACACCAAAACTCCAATGTGATGCAGCAGACATATAATGGATTTATTGTTAATTGTCTGCATGTTGCACTTGCCTCCGCATTCTTGATACGAAATGCACACATAGGAAAGGTTGACACACCTGTGCTGCCAGTCACCTGCCTAGTGTTAGTATGAGTATGAATTAGGAGACATGGGCTCAATGTAAATGCACTACAGGGCCACCTTGCAATGAAAACTCAAGCTGCTGGAAAAATCATACTATTGAAAAAATCTAAAGGCACTCTCAATCTACTTCCCGTGAAGTAAAAAGCATGATTGTGATACGAATGTGATACTCATATGGCTTCTGCATAAATTTGAGAAGAGAAGGTACATGAGAAAAATGGAAATGGATAAATATAGCACAAACATGACTGAGAGCCGAGTCTCTCTGACCACCAATAGAGTTAAAGAATCAATCTTAGAGGTTTTATCAGAATCCAACATGGACCAACTAGGGATGGTCTCCACATCTACACAAGAAGAATGCAAATGATAGGAAATGCCATGAAACCGAACACTTTTCAAGTCTTAGCATAAAATGATAAATCTTTCCCATGACGAACCAATCCAAACCAAACTCAAGTAGGACACGAAGTAAAACTCAACACTAATATTGTGTGCATGCGTGCAAGATAGAGAGAGAGGGAATTACATATATTTAAATAGAACTTCAAGAAAATAAGCAAGCCATCATGGGAAATTGCCCCGTAGACTAACTACTCACCAATATTATAACCCTTCGAACACCATAAACCAACAAATCTTCTCAATAGTATACATAAACCCAAAACTAGAATTAATAACAAGGAAATTGCCATGGCTTGAGGAACACCTGAGAAAAGCATTAGAACGGTTCATAAACATTGACTCCACTCATTTCTGAAGCAATACAAATGAGTATTGATGTTTTCAATTTTTCATATACATTATATAATTTGGCACATATTTTAAAAGTAAAATACCATTAGATAAGGTAAGCATGTAGTTTCAAGCTGGCAGTAAGAATCAGAGCTACAAATTAGGGGAAAAGCAATCAAACGAATTACCAAAAGGAAGAGACATCTATTGAAGATGAAAGCAAAACAAGTATCAGCATGGCCAGAATTCATGTCAGAAGAATCCAACAAGCCCTCTACATTCAGAAAGCCCATGTGAATCATTAAAGAGAGAAGCCAAAAAAGGAAAAAAAAGACGTGGAAAATCAATCAAAAGCATTGGTAGGAATTTCCAAAGTTATTTAAAGAGAAAAGAATAGTAATTGCAACAATCAAAAATAAAAAGAACAGAGACGGATGGTGATGGTAAAAATTTAACAGTACCCCAAAGCCTACTCCTTAAATAGTCTCTACTGCAAATGCCATAGGCCAGCATGAGCTTTCTTACATGCATAATCAGAGCTAAAACTTTAATGAGTTAAATTACACTGCATTGAATACAATTGCATTAAGAAGATGTACTCAAATTCTTAGAAGTTACCTTCTAGCAGTTTACTTCCAACTTTCAAGTTCCAAATATAATTTATAGGCATCAGTTATCCTTGGAATTTCACCAGGCCAATTTCACCAGGCATCAGTTAGCCTCAAAGTTTCTATGGCAGATTGCACCTACCAACTTAATTGGTGTTATGTAAATTATTAAAATTGATATTTTAACAAGCTAGCGACATTGCATGGAGTAGAAGTGTGTCGGTAATATATCTTCAAAGACCAAGTGACCTTTTTGAGCAAATTTTTCTCCAAATTCCAACAATAGAAATACTGGCATTAGCTAAAGTTCCCCCATTCCGAGTGAGCAAAAAATAAGTTGCTCTGTCACTATGAGAATTTCCATTTTGAATTTTACAATTAGAAAAGCTTATAGTCTGTTGTGCAGTCTCTCATAAACCTATCTTCTTCCAAGTTTGAAGGCATACAATTCATATTCTGTATGCATTATCTAGGTGTACAAACTGTTTATAAATCACACCTTTTATCAAAACATATATTAAGCAATCCACAAATTTCCCTCAGCTCCAGTTCTTAGCACCCTAATTATCTTTAGGAATTTGTTTTGGACATTTTCCAATTAGTCTCAGACTTGAAGGACCAACCAGATTTACATGTAAATCTCATTGCCCGAATCCCCATCAGCTATTTCTCCTTCAGTTCTTTCCAAATGCATCTCATAGACCTCTCCAGACCACTCATCTTTCATTTTTTGTCCTGAAAAATTCTGCAAGTTATATCTCTGGTCACCATTATAAAACCTGTCCATGCTTGCTAAATCATCATCCTCTTCTTCATTATTCACCGACAATCAGTCCAAATTGTAGCCATCGTCCTGCACAAATAAACCATCAGAATTATAATCTCAACCAAGATTGCTCCGATTTCCTTTAGCATATCTAGGATTATTTCTATGTTCTCTACCATATCCATTGTCATAAACATCGGAAGAATTCGAACTCTTTCTCCAGTCTGATTGTCTCACAAAATTTTTCCTCCGAGTGTGAGGATCAAATGAATTCATCTCATCAAACTGCCTCTGTTCAGAACCACTAGCTCTACTAGAAGGCTGATCCCTTCTACCAGCAGAAGGACCACCGGTTTCATGTCCTTTCACATAACTCCTTCTTTCTGCGTTATTAGTTCTCCCCATTCTATTTTTCGATTGACCGAATTCACCAAAATTCACACCATCCTTAGTTCGACTGCCTTGTTTCATAACAGACCTCCCCATTCTTCTATCCATGCCTTCATCAATCCACTTTGCACTACCATATTTACCAATTGTACCGTTTGATTCAGTTTTTAAAAGATTACCAGATCGTCCATAATTCATCTCCTCTTTTCCTCCATAGCTAGAAAGCTGCAGCCTTTTAGCAAGAGAATAACCACCAACCCTTGAATTTCGTTTCCCACTACCGCTCTCTAAACCCCCATTTCTTTCTCTGTTATTCTTTCCTCTATGTCTGGAAAATCTCGGCCCCTTTGATTGAGAACCACCCTCGGAGCTAATTTCTTCACCAAATTCACCATCAAATGCATCTTCTTCGCCATATTCATATGAACCATTCTCATCAGAATTATGCAAAAAATTATTCCTCTTAACAGAAATAGTTGAATCATAAGCAGAAGAATCAGTAATTCTCTTAGAATTATCAAAAGAAACATTTGAACCAGTACCAGAAGAAGCAGCTTCAGAAACTCTCCTATAAGGTTGAATGCTATGGACCACACCTTTTGGGAAAAACCTGGCAGAAGGGAACCCATCATGGGTTTTGAAGAGCTCAGGCCCATCTTTCTCTGACCAAAAATCGAACCCACCCGGTTTCTGAAACCGATCGGCCAGGGCCTTCAATTGCTCATCAGGCTTCACCGAGAACAAAACAGGAGCTCTCTGAACTGTCTCCCATGGCTTCTCGAGCTCCGAAACAGCGGCTTTGAGCTCAGCTCTCTTTCTCATCTCATAGAGTTGCCTCTCTCTGCAAAGGCGGGCCTTCAAGAGTTGCTTCGCCTTATTTGCTTGCATTCTCTTCCATTGCCATTTTGATACACCGCCTGGATATGTTCTTGGGCCTCCTCCATTTCGAATGGTCAATGGAGCAAAGCTTTTCTTGGTCACTGTAAAAATCGAAATGGAGAAATTTGCAGGGAAAGATGGGCGTTCTGGATTCAAAACCCTAGACCATGCGAGGTTTGAAGTGGGTTTTGGAGTAGAAATTGGGATTTGCAGTATGAACATTTTCTCGCTCTAGAATTTAGAGAAAACACTAATAATTCACAATTCGCAAAACCCTGGTCAAGATATATCAAACTATGAGAGAGAGACGATTAACAATAGTAAGAAACCTCAACTCTATCTTACTGGGATTGATTATGAGAGAGAAACCCTAATTCCTGAACCAAGATGGAGATGCAAAAGCGCGCATCTTTGAGAGAGAGGGGGACACTCACCTCTGAAGCTGCAGGGAACGTCCATGCTTGAAGCCACATCTATATATCAATAATATCTGTAAACGAACGGCTATCATTCGATGTTGTACGGAGTGGGTTAGATGGACGTCCCGATTTTGCAGCTCTGCCCAAAACGCTAGGTCCAGTCCTTAGGGTATGTTTGGATGTCTAACGAATCATGGTTTAGGAGCCATTTGCAATGGTTATGTTTCGGAAAAAACACTTTGGAATCCCCACGAATCATGGTTTGGTGCATTTTGTAATGATTGTGTTTCTAAATACAAATAAAAATATAAAATACCAAGTATCGGTTTAATTGTGACTTTGATTTGTCAGACTCAAGCGGCTCTCAAGCTGGATTAGGTTGTACTAGTGCTTTAAAACCCAGATCGATTGCTCACCCTATAGATCTTTTTGGGATCATTAACGGTTTGGATCGGTGATTCATAAATATATTAAAAAATAAATAAAATAAAAATAATGGTTTATGGATTGAGATTCAAGGGGATGAGATAAAATAAATTTTAAAAGGAGGGGTTTTATGGGGGAGGGGGAAGCAGGGCCCATGGTTTGAGATTTATGGATTGTCTAGTGGATAAATAATTTGGGAATGGTCTACTAACAGTGTGAATGGCAAAAGAGGAGAGATGGTGAACAGTTCAAAAAAGTGCAGCCCCAATAGGGATGGCAATAGGTCAGGTATGGCGACACGATCTTTTGGGTCCAAAATTTGGAATCATAACTAGACTCGAGGTTGGGTCTACCCCTCCGGTCCTAGGTATAGTCAGGTCCATTATCACCCTTAAGCCCCAAGTGAAAAGATTAAAGGACACAAAGAGCTACCTTCACTTTAATGAATTAATGGCATCCTAATTTTGTGAAAATTTGAGTAATTAAATGTATAATTTGGCCTCATTTTTTTTGTGAAATTTAAGCCACAATTTTAATACGAAATTTAAGAAAATTTTAGGTCGAAATTTGGAAAAATTGAAAGTGGAATCCTTCAAGTTCAAAGGTGACATATCCGGTTCAAGGTTGAATAGAGAGTTATATCAAATGGGAGATTCTCTTGATGAAGGAAGAGTAATCGGGTTCCCTTGTTAGAGCTTCATGACCTGATTAAACCTTATCTGAGGTTTGTGTGCGATTAAAGTTTTCTAAGAGGTGCGCTTTTTATTTTCTTAATTCTTGCTATGTAATTTTTGTTGTGAATATTTAACAATCTTCCATTGTAATTTCATATTTATTTTGTCATATCTTTTCTTTTTTTATTATTCTCTTTGAAATATAAATATTTTGAGTTTTTGGGTAGTTGATTGTTTGATAAAATATATAGATATTTTTATTGTTAAAATGTGAAAGTTGCATTTTTATTATGGATAATACGTGACGCTTATAGATGTACCAGATAGAAGATAAATACAAACAATTCTCAAACCTATGATTGAAGGGATGAGATAATAACATATAGTTATAACAATAAGAGGATCCCATTTTGAATGGGACATCCACTCTTCTCGTCAAGACTTATCTAATAAAAATATTTTAAAAAATAATCATAAAAATAGATTGATCAAAATATCCTGAAAAGTTGCAAGAGTACCTTGATTAATTTATTTTTGTGAACTGTTTTTTTATATTTTTATTCGATTCTACTATTTTAAAGAATATATGCTCCAAATTTTAAATGATTTGGATTTGTAGAAAAAAATTAAAATTAAAATATAATTTGGATCGTTCTATTCCCTTAAAGTCGTGGGTAGGCAAGGCACGACAGGGGATAGGG